TTTGAGAGTACGCACCTCCCACTAAATACACAACAACACTTGCAGAAATGTCTGTTGAAAATTAGAAAATACATTTTGATTCCTTAAACTTGCCAGGTTTTCTTTGATTTAGTTATGCAATAAATGAATGTAAGTAGATAGCCTGAAGTTGCATATTTAAATTCCTGGGATGAGCAGTATTGATCTGTTTTATTTTTCTTTAACATACTGATGAAGACAGTCGTAAAAAGAAACAAACTCATAGAATCAGAGAACAGATATGTGGTTGCCAGAAGTGGGTAGGAATGCGTGAAGGTGGTCAAAAGGTACCAACTTCCTGTTATAAAATAAAGAAGTCCTGGTGATGTAATATAAAGCACGTGACTATAGTTAACAACACTGTATTGTATATTTGAATGTTGTTGAGAGTAGATCTTAAAAGTTCTCATCACCAGAAAAATTATTTGTAACTACATGTAGAGACGGATGTTAAATAGATTTCTGGTGGTGATCCTTTCCCAGTATATACAAATATCAAATCATTATGTTTATACACCCTAAATTAATATAATGTTATATGCCAATTCCACCTCACTTAAAAATGTTGATCCAAATGTCCCAAAATATGGACTCTAGTGAATGCTGTACTGTGTTGCCCAGATCCTCCTTCATGATTAAGGGCTTATTCTTCCCTTCCCAGGAGCAGAGAGTACAGACATTTGACAGCCCTCAGCTCTCAGCCCTCCTTGAGAAATGCCCTCTGCTAAAGAAGCTGCCTCACCCATAGCACTCAGGTCTCTTGCGGTGGGAGCATAACTGACCGACAGCCACCTGCATCCTCCACGGTGTTTGTGCTGAGGATGCTCCTGGGCTGCTCCCTACCACTGACTAAGAACAGCAGGTGCCAGTGCATGCCCATTGCCATGATCACACAATGACCTTGATGACCAGGTCAATTACACCTGCCAGGATGGTGACTCCTCTTCTTAGCATGAGGGACCTGAAGTGCCAGGCAGCAGCACAGCCTGAAGTTTCATGGGACTTTGCCATGTCTCTGAAAGTGTTATCCCTTTAGGAGTTAAGACCTCTAAATCTGCCATGGCCAGAGGTGTGCAGACCCGAAGCACAAACTCCCCAAGTGGCTGCTTCTATGCCAAACCCCTGATTTCCGGATTCATGTGTTCTCTAAATGGAGATATAGCACATTATGAGCATCGTTGTTTTAGAGTGTGTACTGCATCCTGTGAATTATCCATTCAGTATTTCCTGCGTATTCAAATACCTGCATGAAATATCATCATTCTCTTTGAAATTAAATGTATTCCTCTATCTTTCATTATTATTTTTTTTTAACTTCTTATATATCATACTGCCTTTAGGCTGTATGTTACCTCTGTCCTCCCCTTCTCCGGCAAACTTTATGCATGACTTATACTTGCCACCTATATTTCCTCAATAATCACTCTTCAACACACTCTACCTGGATTATTTCTGCCCTGCCCCTCCATTTAGAGGTAATAAATAGAGCTCTCTCTAATATCAATAAAGGCCTCTATGTCACCAGCAAATGTCAAGGGATATTTTTCAGTCCTCACTTTGTTGGTCCTTTCAACAAAACCAAAACTGTTAGCCACTCTGCTTCTTTTTAGAAAGATCTCTTTGCCTCCATGACATTTTGTGGAGCCCAAGTGATCCACAAAATCTCCCAAGATTCTCAAGGGACCATCACCGAAAGTTGGTTCCTGGGTTTGGTCCTTGTAGAAATTATGCTTCCCTTAGGAGACAATTTGTAATTTTTAAGTCAAATCAAAGAAAAAAGAGTTTCTCCTTGAAAGAGAAAAAATTAATTTCCCACCTTTGCTCCTTGCAAGGCACAATGTTGGCTGAAAATTTTCCATTCTCTTATCTTTGCCCACAAAGGGAGCTGAATTATTTGGAATAGAGTAAGTCAGTAGAACAATTTGTATAATGAGGTGCTCTGAGAATTCAACCCTTGAGACTCTGGAAACTTTAGCCATGTTTCTGTTGCCCCTTACTGATAATTTTCTGTTCCCAGCCAAATGCAAAGCCAACTGGGCTTCCCAGGGGCAGACCTCAGAGAACAGAAAACTTCGGTGTTAACCATCAGAGAGAGTCACTGTGTCCAGCGAGGACTGGTGGAGTAAGAAAAAAAGATGAAAGAAATTGGGCACTGGGGTTTACCTCTAGAGTTGTGAGGCTGAGACGGGCTCGTATTTATTTAGTCTATAATGGTGAAGTCTCTGTACTTTGAATGTGCTTTAGTTTCCGCTGAGCCCAGTCTTTTCCAGTGCTTGCTCTGTTTCCTTCTCTCTCTCTTTGGAATCTTGGGACTTTCTGTGATCGGAGTTATTTTCCAGAGTCTCCACCTCTTCTCTACTCTTTTGCATAACTGTGGGCTCCTGTTAGATTTCTTGTGTCCAATCATTTATTCACTAACTACTCACTGGAGATCTATTATACACAAGGTATTGTCTACTTTATTCCTAATGTGACTGGATTTTTCTATTTCCTAACAATTTATGCATGGGTTCGCCTTACTGATAGCACTTAATAGTTCTGTATTGGTTGTTGTTGTTGAACTTGAGTGTTCATAATATCATCTACGATAATTATTTCTGATGTTCTGTACTCAGCCCAGTTTCCTATTCTCATCTTACCAAAGTCTTTTAAATATTCAGGAGAATATCTAGTGACTAAAATTGGAGTAGACTGCCATGGTCTTTTCATGAATTTATCACAAATATTTTAGTCTTTAATGTAGAATATTGTGTTTCCTGTAGTTTTAAAAATACCATTCTTTATTGGGTTTATAAATTGCCCTTGCTTTCCTCATTTAGCAAAAGGCTATGTCCTGCCCGGGTGCTAACCACAGTGATGACTGTTGCCTTTTCTCAAATGCATTTTCTATTGTGATTATGGTTATGATTTCTCCTCATTGACCTATTTTTGTGATGAATTATGTTAGCAAAAATCCTAGTATTAAACCACTTTCCCATTCCTAGAATAGGTGTTTGTTATCCATGATGTATTATTCTCCTAGTATAGATTTAAAAACTTTGATGTAAGTTTAATATTCAATTTTGTGTCTATATCCAGGCATATGTGAGTTTCAACATCTCTTTTGTGTCATAGTTGACACTTGGGTCTCATTATTTATTAGACATGTAACACTTGTATGTATTGAGCACCTACTATGTGCCAGGCACCATGGCAGTCCCTGGAAAGACAATGGTGAGCAAAAAGAGTCACACTCTCTGACCCACAAATAAACATAACATTAGCAACATGAGAGGCACATCAAGGAATTGCACAGGATGCTGGACTTGTGGGGCTCCCCCACTCTGTCTTCCTTATCCTCCCTCTCTGTTCTCCATCTCACTCGACTCTCAAGTGCCTTCATTCCCAAGCTCCATGACCCACAGGTTAACCATGAATTCTGTTCTCTCAGCCCAAAATGCTTGGCCTTTCCTTATTTCCCTTGGTTAACAGTTACGCATCCTTCCTTCCACAGTTCAAATATTCGTATATCAGAAAAAGATTTCTTGATCCACCAGCCCCGACTAAATAGGTCCTCAATGATTTTTTCTCTGTGAATTAATCAGGATTCTCTAGGAATTAACATAATGGACCTTATTTCTATCATGGAGCATGTAGATATTGATAATCACTTCTTAAATTTTCCTTTCAAATTTTAGGATGATTTGATTTATAGAAGCTTTGAATATTTTTTAATCAAATCTATCAACCATATGTTTTTGCAATTAACTCTGCTAGTTTTTAGTACAACACATCCCCACTTCTGAGCATGTACACATGAGCACACATGAGAACACACACTTTGTATTTTATTTTAAAGATTTGTGATTTTGTTCCCTCCTCTTATCTTTATAGTTCATGTACTTTTCTCTCTTCTTGAAAGAATCCACCTGGCAGGCAGTTTCTGAAACAAGAAGCCAAAAGGAACTCCATTGATTAGAAGTGCTGCATGGCAGAGAAAAGACGTAACAGATCTGTTGTGTGTATAATGATCAGAATTCCATCTTGAGTGACTGTCACAGTTTAAGAGGAGTATTAATAACGATAGCCACACAAGACTGATTTATTGTGATGTTAAGAATAGAAGCTCACATTTATCAGGTGTCCAACGTACGTCACAAGAATCACAAGAAAAACTACATGTATCACTTCATTTAATTCACTCATCAGTCTCACATTGTAGGGAATATTTACTACTCCCGTTGTAGAGGTGAGGTATCTGCAGCAAGGAGAGCTTATATAGCCTTGTCAAGATCACATCAATAGTGATTTGGTGGAGCAAAATTCTGTTCTAGGAAGTCTGATTCCAGATCCCTTTTTATAAATCACATCTCTATCCTTTACTTTGGGACAGTTACATATTAAAAATAATTGTCCTAAAAGGAACATATTAATAATTATAATAATAGCTATCATTTACTGAGATCCTACTGTGCACAAAGGAATTTCTAAACCTCACAAAGAAGATAATAGCAGTAACTACATTTTTACATATAAAATGAGTAAGGCACCTGAGTGTTAACTATGACATGGATAGGAAGCATCAAGTCGTAGAATTAAAGTGATTTGACGTGAGAATCCACGTCTTAATAAGAATCAGAGCTATTTGAATGAAGAAAGTATGGAGATTATCAAAGAAAAGATATTAAACGCCTTGAACTATTTTGGAAGGGTCATATCATAGAAGAAATTGGTTTATGTCCATAGCCTCAAATGGAATTAGAATCAGTGTATAGGAGAAAAAAAGAGATTTCTGCTAAATTTCAATAAGGCTAAATAATTACATTTCCAAAGGAAATGGGCTCCCACTTGACTTAGTGAATCACTGTCATTGGAAAGACTCAACAGAGAGTGAAGTTTGTCCACCTAAAGGTGGAATCAAGAGGTGCTGACCAGCTCAGAAGCCAGTTGGATGTTCACTGAACATTGCTTTTGCCTCCTTCTCCAGCAGACACACCAGCTCGATGGAAGCAGGAAACCACACAGAAGTATCAGAATTCCTCCTACTGGGCCTCTCAGAGGATCCTGAACTTCAACAGCTTCTCTTTGGAGTGTTGCTGTCCATGTACCTAGTCACCATTCTTGGGAACCTCCTCATCACCTTGACCATCATCTCTGACACCCATCTCCACACTCCCATGTATTTCTTCCTCTCCAATCTATCTGTTCTTGACATCTGCATCATCTCCACCACTGTCCCGAAGATGCTGGTGAATGTCCAGGCACAGAGAAAAGACATCTCCTACATAGGGTGCTTCACTCAGGTCTATTTTTTTATGATTTTTTCGTTACTGGACAATTTCCTCCTGACTGTCATGGCCTATGACCGGTTTGTGGCCATCTGCCACCCACTGCACTACATGGTCATCATGAACCCACACCTCTGTGGTCTCCTGGTTCTGATGTGCTGGTTTATCACTTTCTGGGTATCCCTGCTTCATATTCTGCTCTTGAGGCGTCTGACCTTCTGTATAGGTACTGAAATTCCACATTTCTTCTGTGAACTGCCTCAGGTTATCAAATTAGCCTGCTCTGACCGTCTCATCAATAACATCACCATTTATGTGGCAACTGCCCTGCTGGCTGTGCTTCCTCTCACTGGAATCTTCTTCTCTTACTCTCAAATTGTCTCCTCTATAATGCGAATTTCCTCTGCAGGAGGAAAACATAAAGCATTTTCCACCTGTATGTCTCACCTCTCTTCAGTCTCTTTGTTCTATGGGACAGGCCTGGGCGTCTACCTCAGTTCTGCTGTGACAAATTCTTCCCACAGAAGCTCGATTGCCTCAGTGATGTACACCGTGGTCACCCCCATGCTGAACCCCATCATCTACAGCCTGAGGAACAAGGATGTGAAGGGGGCCCTGAGAAGGCTCCTCCGCCGAGCTGCCCCTTGTCTGCGAGGCATCACTAGCCTCAACTAAGTGGACATGGTGGGTCCCAAAAGCAAATATTATGAATTTTATCTCCTGGTTCCTTTTCTCCCCTAATACACATGCTTCATTTCTTCTACTCCCAAAGCACCTATGACTCTGTTTTTATTTGTTTTTGTGTTGGTTTCTCTTTAATAACTTCCTCCACCATTCCTTTTTGATTTTTCTTCCCTATTTGCAGCCCATGAACTTCCATCTTTGGTCAGCTTTCTTGCAGCCATTCCTGACGTTGCCAACGTCCTGAAGACTTATATCATGTTATTTTATCCTTTCTCCAAAAAATGGTCTTCTCAAATCTTGATATCTTCACTTTAATTTGGTTGTATATTTGTTTTTCCTGGAAGAAATGCAATGAAAATCATACAACGATCATGGCTAAAGTGCTGGCCATATGAAGACTCTTCTTGTTGCTTTACATGTATAATTTTAAGTAATCCTGACAGCGTTTCCGTGAGATTTTTATTCAGAGAAAGAGATTAAAATTGGGATGGACTCTAATCTGGAAACCTGAGACTGAGCCCACATCCTAACTCTGCTGTCATACTTTTCATGAAAACTGTGATGTCATTTTTTAATTTCAAGACTAGGAATCTAGATTTGAAAGCTAGTTTCTCCAGGTGATTCATAGTAATGTATTGCATAGGATAACTGTGAGATATTGCTTCACTCTTTGCCTTTATTCATGCTCTCTTCATTTCTTCCTCTTCTTTCATGTGTTATTGGACCTTTATTTCTCATCATTGCTGTTTTAGGATACACCCAAAGATCCAAAAACACATACTACTGAATATAACAGAGTAAGACTTTTTCTCTCCAGTGGTTTATTTTAGGGGGAAGATACTCTCTGGAGGTGCCATCAGGAATGATGGTTACACACTTGTGGAATGCATTCGGAACTTAGGTCACTTTTTGAGAAGAATATTGATAGAACTGAGTCTACAGTGAAGGGTGGTATACTAGAAGTTGTCAGCATTTCTCCCTTGTTCCCTGGATCTTTTCACCATCTCCATTGCATGATTCCTTGACTGTCAATGGTTCACAGCAGGTGGAACCTACTTTTCCCAATGCATGATGGCAGAAGTGACAGGGATTATGCCCCAGCAGAAACAGCTCTTGTAGGAGAGGTAGGGGTATACTATCTCCTTCACCCCTTTTCTGGGATCATTTTGAAGTTTGGATTTTGTGCCCCTTTCCATGATTTCCCTACAGGATGAAAACTGCTTAGTTATTGTGGGATCTGACTTAAAGTAAACTTTATTGGATGCATTGTCTTCCCTATATCGTTTCTCTCTCTAACCCATGTTCCATGTTTTCTACTACCTCCAATAAAGCGCTTGCACATGAATCCTTGGCTCGGTGTCTGCTTCTGGGGGAACAAACCAAAACAGGTGATACAGGCTGTGAAGGGTATCAAAACAATATCATGAATGGAACTTTGGGCTTTTGGGAAAAGAAAAAATAAAGAAATCAAGAATTGTGTATATAGTGAGATCTTCATATATTACTAAAAGATCTTAATTTGTTAGTGAGGAAAAACACATTTTATAGGCTTCAATTCACTTTGATTAAATTAAGTTTAATCCAGTGTTATTTTCTGTCTACTGTATACAAGTTGAATGGGGACCAATGAGGTAGCCATGATTGCAACACAGGGTGGTGAGCGTAATAATTCTGGGGTGCAATAGAGCATTTTGAAATCAAAGGTAAAAGTGTTCCATCACCTCAAGTAATTTCAGAGAAAACTTTACAAAATTGATTTTACAGATTCATTGATATATAATTAAGATACCACAAAATTTGCCCATTGAGAATGTAAATTCAGTAATTTCAATACATTTAGATTTATGCAACCATCATAATTCAGTTTTAGAAAATTTGTGTCATCCCAAAAAGTTTCCTTGTGCCCATTTACACTTAATTCTCACTCCCATCTCCATGCTAGGCAACCACTTATCTCTTTCTGCCTCTGTAAATTGGTCTTTTCTAGAAATTTTATATAAATGGAATCACACAATATGTGATCTTTTGTATCTGGCTTCTTTCATTTAGTAATGGTTTTGAGGGTAATCCACATGGAGACATGTATCAGTGTTTTGTCCTTATAATTGCAGAATAGTATTCAAATGTGTAGATGTAACATATTCTGTTCATCCACTTACCAGTTGACATATATGTGGATATTTCCAGTTTGGGTTATTATGAACATTTGCCTACATGTCTCTGCGTTCACATGTGTTTTTATTTCTCTTGGGTAGATAATGTGGAGTGTAATTACTGGGCTATATTGTAAATTTATGTTTGTTGTTTAAGAAACTACTAGAATGTTTTCAAAGTGGCTTCACCATTTTACATTTTCATCAGCACTGAACGAAGGTTCTAGTTTTTACACGTCTTTGACAACAACTGGGATTCAGGGAAAACTTCTAATGGGACACTGTACTTGAGCATTGAGTAACAACTAATCAATAGAAATTTAATTGGATAATGTGTTTGGGTTGGAAGAAGAGAGGATAAGACAGTGGGACCTAGAGGAACAAGGAACCACACTCACATAAGCTTGGAGAAGTTCAAGAGTAAGGCAGTTCAGGAAGATATATGAAACTTATGACTGAGTTGTTAGAAATAAGCCTAGATATGTAGATGGAGGGCAGACTTTTGAGAGTCTAATTTGACATATTAAGGATTTTAAAAGCAATTGAGCACCAGGGCCATGCTGTAATCATATATATAATATGAGGAATTTAGAGTTTCTGTGAGTGGGAGAAACTGGAAGCAGAAGGAACAGTTAGGAGGCTGTGGAAGTAGTCCAGGGGAGAGGTAATGGGGACCGATCTAAGCCAGTGGCAAGAAGAGATGCCGATTTTGGAAGAGAGGTATATTATGTTCCTATTGCTGCTGTAAAAAATTACCATAAGTTGAGTGGCTTAAAACAACAAAAATTTATTATCTCACAGTTTTGGAAATCAGAAGTCTAAAATGTATCAGCAAAGCTGCTTTCTCTTTGGAGACTCTAGAGGAAAATCTGTTTATTTACCTTTTCCAATTTCTAGAGGATCCTTGTATTCCTTGGCTTATGGTTACCTCCTCTATCTTCAAAGTCAATAGTAGAGCATCTTCAAATCTCTCTGTAGCCCTCCTGGCTTCCTCTAACAAGGACCCCTGTAATGACATTGAGCCCACTCAGGTAATTCAGGGTTTATTTGTCATCTCCAGATCTTTAACTTCATTACACCTACAAAATATCTTTCAGCATCTAAGGTAACACATTCACAAATTCTGGAGATTAGTGTATGAACGTCTTTGGGAAGCTATTGTTCAGCTTGCCATGGGAGATGTATGTGAGCTAGAATTTGCCAGAAATTGATCAGTAAGGCCTTGAGCTGAGAAGGTAGAGGGCCTGTCATGGCACTTCTTGATGATTTTCATAGGGCATGATCATCTCAGCTTCCTGGCTCATGTAAATATAGTTCTGAACTATTCAGGTTTACTTTGCTGACAAGTAATAGGAAAGAATTTCCTGATTCATCTGTTTATAGCTGAACAGAGGCTCTGATGGACACTGGCACAACTGGACACAGGGGCAGAAACACTACAAAGATTTCCTTTCAGATTATCAGCTTTATTTTCTCAGCCTGACTACTTGCAAATGGAAAGAGATGCAGAAATCAGCAGCTCTCACAACTCACACTTCATCTAATGTGAAGCACCTTTTTAGTAGTTTCACTATTAGAGAGAAACTGGATTTATTTTAGCTTCTCATGTGAAAAAGAAATCTCAACAATGGATTTTGATTGACACAATCATGTGCTCTTTCCACCTTGGACCAGTCAACCGTGGTCAGGAGACAATATCACTGGCAGCCCCTTCAGAATCACATTTGTTTATTCAATTTATCAAAACTATTTTTACTGTGTATTTTCTATGTGTCAGTCATTATTCTAGGTTCAACTCCACAGGATTAAGAAGATCAGGACTGTGGGGAAGACAGGCTGCCATGATATAAAGGATGGTCTTAATAAAACTCATTGAAAATTTACATTTGTGAAGACAGTGAATGACTGAGGTGACTGTATATCTGAAGAAAGAGTGCTCCAGGTAGAGTGTAAGGTTAATACAAAGACACTGAGGTGGAAGGTGGCCTGGGGGGGTGTGTGACTGGAGCATACAGACTGAGGGGGTTCATAGCAGAAGAGGACAACAGGTATAGGGGCTGGTCATGTGAGGCTTTCTCTGCCACTGAAGGACTTTTGCTTTCATTTATTCTGAGTGACATGGGGAGGCATTGCCAGGTATTGAGCAGACACATGACATGATCTGACTTGGAATTTTAAAAGATCATTCTGGTTGCTGAGTTGAGAGTGGATGGTAGGGTTTGGGAAACCTGATTGGAGCTGACCGCAGCAAGCCAGGTAAGATATAGGAGGATAGGACCCAGGGTGTGGGGTCTAGTGTAAGTGTTGATAAGTGGTGAGTTGGGCCGAGAGGTTTTGTGGTCAGGCATCACATGGGTGTGAGAGAAAAAGAGGAGACAAGAATGACTCCAGGTTTGGGGTCTGAACAACTGAAAGAGTGGAATTGCATCGATTGAGACAGGAGGGCTAGGGGTGGAGTAAATTTGGAAAGAAAGGGGACTTCAGAAGTTCAGGTTTTGAAATGTCAAAAATGAGATATTCCAAAGGGTAAATATCATATGATTCAACTTATGTGAGATGACTAAATTCAGCAAATTCATAGAGGCAGAAACTAGAGTAGAAATTTCCAGGGGCTAGGAAGAGAGGGGATCAGAGAGTTAAGTGTTTAATGGGGACAGAGTTTCATTTGGGATGGTGAAAAAGATCTGGAAATGTATGGTGGTGATGGTTGGACAACAAAGTGAACGTAGTTAATGCCACAGAATTATACACTTTAAAATAGTTAAAATGATAAATCTCATGTTATGTATATTTTACCACAGTAAAAGACAAAGGAGATGTTTGTTTGGTATCCCAATG